GTGAGCGGAGTTTTATACGGCAACTTCTACTTATATATATATAAAAATATATAAGTGCAACTGAGAGAATAATAAACATTAATGGCACCAAAGAGAGGTGTTGCTTTCTGCTGCCCACCACTCCCTACTTGGCGGTTTAAAGGGCGGGGGGGGGGGGAAGGCATTTAAAAGTTATAGCTTTGGCTGAGATTTTCATTCTCCCCCCCCCCCCTTTTCTTTTTTCTGTTACATTACGCTGCTGGTAGAGTCTGACAAAGAACTTTTGTCCCAAAGTGTGTTTTACAGAGGGAGGCTACAGCGCAACACATGTGGTCTTCACGGGTCATAGGTCGAACGGCCTAGAAGTGGCTCAGACCGGCACCATCAAAGGTAACCTGCAATTTAATATCCTGTTGATGAGCTTGTTGAATTTATGAGTGTCTGTGACACAGACAACGGTGCAAAGCCATGCTGCTCAGCTGGCCTCTCCTTCCCAGGCTACAGGCCGGTCTCATGCCCCCTGTCCCGCACCTCGTCCTGTTACTCCGGGGAGAAGTGAAGCTTGAATCTGGAGGGGAAAAGACCCCCTCTTCCCCACAACCCAACTGCTGGTCAGCCTTTTCACCTTGGTTTTCCCGGCAAGGCTGCCGCCAGCCGCATCCTCCAGCGGGTAGTGAAGGAAGGAGGGAGGCAGAGGGGGATGAAGAGAGAGAGTGAAGGAAGGAGGGAAGAAGGGATGGAGGGAGTGCGGGAGCAGTCCACTCAACAGCCCTGGCCTGGCGGTGACAACCCCTGGGGACAGGAGGTGGAAGGCGAGGGAGGTATATGCCCTTCAGGGGAAGGAAGAAATTGCTCTCGCTGGTCCCTCCAGCCCCTCCAGCTCCCTCCTTATCAGCAGCAGAAAGAGTAAGAGCAGAGCAGTTCTACAGAAAATTTCGGCACACTTACAGACAGGGGGATCCTTTCCCGGCAAAGGCTGACCGTTACTTTGCGGGTCTGGCACCTTCAGAGAGCTGTTCAAAAGCTAGTTTCAGTAAACCCGCGTAGCACCAACAGTGGGTGACCGTTTGCTTCCCTCCCTCAGTAGCTGTCGCGAGGCGAAAGCTGTGTTTCTGGCAGGGGCCCGGAAAGTGAGAGCGGTCTGGCTGCCGGGGCCCCTGCCCATTTCCCCCTTCCTCCCCTTCCTCCCTTACCCCCTGCCCGTGTTACCCTGTGACACCGGGGAAAGGGGGCTTGCGGTTCTGAGCGAAATAAAGCGCTTCTTAGGAGAGACGGCAACGTGACTTTGAACTTGGATCAGCTCCTCTGTTTCCTGCACAGAGAGCAGGGCTGGAGTCCTGAAAGAATAGCAGAGTGCGGCCAGCCCGCGGGGGCTCCCGCTGGAATTCAGCGTCTGTCCGTCCCTCCAGCCGTCAGTGCGTCTGTCCATCCGTGCGCCCATCCGTCCCCCAAAGCGGTGGCCCGGAGTGGGCAGAGAGCAGGGGGCAGGAAAAGCAGGAAAGGAAAGAGAAAAAGGAATAAAAAGAGAAAAGAAAAAATAAGAGAAAAAGGAAGAAAAAAAGAAAGGGAGCAAGAGAAGGAGAGGAGAGAAAGAGAGACAGAGAGAGAGAAAGAAAGAGAGAAGGAAGGAAGGAAGGAAGGAAGGAAGGAAGGAAGGAAGGGAGGAAGGGAGGAAGGGAGGAAGGGAGGAAGGGAGGAAGGAAGGGAGGAAGGGAGGCGAGAAGGAAGGAAGGAAGGAAGGAAGGAAGGAAAGAAGGATCCAGAAGGTAGGTATTTGTGTGACCATTCACCTTTTTTTATTCTTTCTTTCTGTTTGGGGTTTCTGGTTTGTGTTGTTATTTTGGGGTTGGGGTTTGTGTGTTTTTATTGTTTTTTTGGTTTGGTTTGGTTGGTTTTTTTTTTTTCCAAAATAATGTTTATAACCGGGATTTTTCATGGACACCTCGGTTCTTTTTCTAATCTCTGATGTAGCAACTTATTTCGCCTGTTTTGTTTTTTGTTGTTTTTTTTTTGGGGGGGGGGGGGTGTTGGGTGTGGGGAAAGTGTATCTAAGGCCCTAGTTGTCCGTATGTTTTTTTCACTAACCCGGAGGCAGACGATGCAGGAGTCCCAGCTTCCCGCTCTAACTTGGGCTCTCGAAATCCTCACAGCTTTGGAGGACACTTCTCAGACCTCTGACTCGGCAATCTCTCGGAGAATGAAAAGAGTTTTGCTCGCGGTCTGTCCCTGGGAGCCTGGGGGGTCAGGACAAGGACAGCATATGCTCCCAAGCTGCAGCCTGGGAAGGAGATATCTGGGAAGCAGAACACTCCTGCCCGCAGAGACAGGACAGAGTGACGGTGTGGTGGAGAGGAGAGGGCTCCTGGCAGCAGAGGCAAATCTGCACTGGGGTTCAATTTATCTTATAATGCCTATTTCAGATTACAAGAAATCCCATTTTTCCCCAAATTAAATCATTCAAAGCGTAGTGTCCAGTACTGGCACTTTCGACAGGCTTGGAAATCATTTAACTATTTAGTGACACTGATGAGGAAAACCTTATTTCAACAACCTTTCTCTCTCCCTTCCTTCCTTCCTTCCTTCCTTCCTTCCTTCCTTCCTTCCTTCCTTCCTTCCTTCCTTCCTTCCTTCCTTCCCTCCTTCCTTCCTTCCTTCCATCTTCCTTTCTTCTCTATCTATCTATATCTATCTATCTATCTATATCTATCTCTGTATCTATCTCTTTCTATATCTACTTCTATCTACGTCTTTCTCTCTCCATCCATCCATCCATCCATCCATCCATCCATCCATCCATCCATCAATCCATCCCCTTGCTCGGACTCTAGGTCCAGGTTTGACAAGGCATTTAACGACGTGAGGAGCCACAAGAGGAATGTCACGTCGCAGGGATAATTTCCGACACCACTCCCCCCCCCCCAACCCCCTGTATTTTGGGGCTGTCCCTCGGCACGCCCGGAGCCGATGGCGAACGAGACGCCAGGTTAAGTTCAGGACGGTTGAGACGACAACTGTTATGTCCGGGTTTAATTTTGACAAAGCCTTATTTATGGGCGAGCTGCTGGCCCTGAGATGATTATTTTTCAGGCACTACAAAACAAACCGAAGCAGGGGCCAGACATGTATTTACTGGAGGGGGAGGGGAAGGGGACTTGTTTGCTCTGTGTGTGTGTGCTGGCTGCATGCTTTTTTATTCCTGCCATGTAAGAATCCGGTTTCCAAATAACAATGGCAGGGAGGGTTTTAGGGTTGGGTTTTTTAATTTTTATTTTTTTTTTCCTTTTTCCTGGGTTGTTTTCGTTCCCTTTTCAAGCGCCAAGGAAAACTCCTGAAAGCATCTGCTCTCGGGTGCACATTCACAACACACACACATCGAGTCCTCTGCTCAAGCACAAGCGGTTTAAAAGCTCTCCCCAAAAAACCTCTTCCCTCCTCTATTTTAATTTTTGTTTTATTTATTTATTTGCATTTTCTCCCAGCTGCGGTGACTTGAATTTGATTCTCCCCTCGCTCCCTTTATCGATCACGGGCTTCATCTGCTTTAGCCGAAAAGGGGGAAGGGGCTGCAGGATGCGCGAGTTCATCCCTCCCTCTGCCACCACCTAAAAAAAAAAAAAATTATAAAGAAGAAAAAAAAAAAGATAAAAAAAAAAAAAAAGGAAGGCCCCTCTCGCCCCCCTCCCCCCCAGCCCTCTGTTTATGTTTTAAGCCCCTCGCTTTGTTTGTTTGCCTCCCGAGGCACGATCGCATGGCCAAGCGCACATCGATATTTTCCGTGCTCGCCACCCCTTCCCCTCGCCGCGGGAAAGGCGGGAGGAAAGGGGGAAGGAACACACACACCCCACAACCCCCCAAAAGAAGCGGCCGGCGGTGCCGGGCAGAAGGCAGCCACCGGGTCCGTGCCGTGCCTGGCTGGGGCCGGGCTGCGAAGGGCGGGTGGGGCGCGGAGCGGCCGCGCCGCCATTAGCCGGTGGCCGGGGACGCCCGGATGGACGGGGCGGCTCGGGCCAATGAGCGGGAGCCGGGAGAGAGGCCGGGCGGCGGGTGAAGGCGGTGTTGGGAGCGGAGCCGCCAGTGCGGGCGGGGAGAGCGAGAGAGGCCGGGGACGGGCGGGAGGGAGGGAGGAGGGAAAGAGGAAAAAGAGGGGGAGTGAGGGGAGGGGGAGAAAAATAAAAAGCCGCCGCCTCAGCAGCGCCCACCGAAATAAACAGAGGAGCGAGAGGCAGCGAGGGCGCGGGCGGAGCGGGGCTGCAACTCCGCCGCCCCGGCCGCGCCGCTCCGGCCCCGGCTCTCCGCGGCCCCTTCCCACCCCCCGCCTCCCCTCCCTAACCCCATCGCCGCCCTTATTGTTTTTAATCTGCCTCTGGCACCCCCTTTCTTGTCTTCCCCCCCCCCAGCCCCGGTCCCCTCCCCACGCCCCTCCGCGGCGGCGGGCAGGGGCGGCGCGGCTCGGGGCACCCCCCGCCCTGGGTCCCTTCGCTCCGTGGGAACCCGCGGCTGCAAGTTTTTTTCTCCGTGAGAGACACCGCTAATGCCCGGCTGAAGATAAAACGAGAGCAGGGGCAGGGGGGCGGCGGGGGGCCCGAGGCGGCGGGGAGGGTCGCGGGGCGGCGGCGGTGGTGACATCCCGGTGGTGGTGACGGCGGCGGAGAAGTGGGGGGGGGGGAGCGGCGTGTGTGCGAGTCTCTGTGTGTGAGTGTGTGTGTGTGTGTGTGTGCGTGTGTGCCGCAGGGAACGGCGAGGCGAGCCTTGCCCCCCCCCGTCCCCAGCCCCGTCCCTCCCCTGTTCCCCCTCCCCTCCCCTGCCCGCCCCCGGCTCAGCTCCTTTAATACACTTTGGTTCTCCGCTCGCCTTTGGACTCTGCTCTGCCTGGCTCCGGATACGGCTCCGGCGGCGGCGGCGGCAGTAGCGGGCCGGTGTGGGCGCGGGCGGCTTCGGCGGAGGCGGGGGGACGCGGCGGCTGCCGGGGGGAAGCAGCGCAGAGCGGCGACGGCCCCGCGCCGGGCCGGGCGGGCGGCGGCGGCAGCCCGGCAGCGGCAGCGGTAGCGGGGCGGCGGCGGCGTCCCCGGAGCGGCGCGGACCATGCTGCTGGACGCCGGCCCGCAGTTCCCGGCCCTCGGCGTGGGCACCTTCGCCCGGCACCACCACTCGGCCGCGGCGGAGATGCAGGACCGGGAGCTGAGCCTGGCGGCGCAGAACAGCTTCGTGGATTCGGCGGCGGCGCACATGGGCGCCTTCAAGCTCAACGCCGGCGCCCACGACCTCTCCCCGGGGCAGAGCTCGGCTTTCACCTCGCAGGCGCCCGGCTACCCCGCCGCCGCCCTGGGCCCCCACGCTGCCCACGTCGGCTCCTACTCCGGAGCGCCCTTCAACTCCACCCGGGACTTCTTGTTTCGTAGCCGCGGCTTCGGGGACTCGTCGCCGGCCGGCGGGCAGCACGGTATCTTCGGCCCTGCGGCCGGCAGCCTGCACCACCCGCACACGGACGCTCAGAGCCACCTTCTCTTCCCGGGCATCCACGACCAGCATGGCCCCCACGCTTCCCAAAACGTCCTCAACGGGCAGATGCGCCTGGGTTTGCCGGGGGAGGTGTTCGCCCGGTCGGATCAGTACCGCCAGGTCTCCAGCCCCAGGACTGACCCGTACTCGGCGGCTCAGCTGCACAACCAGTACGGCCCCATGAATATGAATATGGGCATGAACATGGCAGCCCACCACCATCACCACCCAGGTGCCTTTTTCCGCTACATGCGGCAGCAGTGCATCAAGCAAGAGCTCATCTGCAAGTGGATCGACCCCGAGCAGCTGAACAACCCCAAAAAAAGTTGCAATAAAACTTTCAGCACCATGCACGAGTTGGTCACCCACGTCTCGGTGGAGCACGTTGGGGGACCCGAGCAGAGCAACCACGTCTGCTACTGGGAGGAGTGTCCCCGGGAAGGCAAACCCTTCAAAGCCAAATACAAACTGGTCAATCATATCCGAGTGCACACGGGAGAGAAACCCTTCCCCTGCCCCTTCCCCGGCTGCGGAAAAGTTTTCGCCAGATCAGAAAACCTCAAAATTCACAAAAGGACGCACACAGGTAATGCGGGTTTCGTTCGGCAGATTATCCCCCTTTTGCCTGTGCCTATATATATGTATAAAACCACATAGAAACTCAGGCAGACAGATGTAAAATGATAAGAGTGATAAAATAACGATCCTGTTTAATATCCACCACCCACCCCCCGCTCTATCCCACAGCTGCGTTTGTTTTGGTTTCTTCCCCATCCGAATCCCCATTCCCTCCCCGCTCCCCTTCCCAGATTTTGAGAGGATATTTTACCAATTTCTTTTAATTTGCGGGGTGAGCTATGTAGATTCCTGCCGATGCTCGCTGGGGTCTTCCCGCAGGGAAGCAAAATTCAGCACGAAGTGAATTTTGCCGTTCTTTTAAAAGACGGGAAGATGTGCATGCATATACACGCACACACGTTTATGCATGTACATATACAGAAGAAACGCCTTAGATATTTGCAATGCGCTACGTTTTTGCATCTAACTTCAGCCCTTGTGAGGGTGGCTTTCACGTATGGTTATGGAGAAATAAACTATATAAATACAGGCAAAACCTGTCATTAGTCCCCTTTCTGGGAATGCTTTCCATTAAATTTAAATGGTGTGAGCAAGGCAATAAAATTTTCTCATTTAAAAAAAAAAGGGGGGGAAAAGTGTTTTTAAAGTCTCACTCGAGGTGATTTAAGGTGCCTTCGTAAGAGTTTATTAAATCAGGTAATAGGGAGCGGAGGGGTTTCAGGCTCGGAAACTTCCACCCGAATCAGGTGGAAGAGGGAACTCAGGCTTTCCTGACGGAAAACCGCCTAAGCCGAAGGGTAACAAAACTAAACGCGTCCTCCCGCCTCATCTATTATTCATTTACTGCTCGAACCGTGCCAGACTATTTCAGACAAGACAGCCAAATATTTTAGCCACTTCCACTCTAAATATTTACCCGGAGAAAGGCGAAAAAAGGATCCCGAGGCCTATTGTATTTCTCAAGTGCTAAGCCCGATGCGAGGTGCGAGACGAGCTTTAACAAGGTTTAAAATTTGAGAAATGTATTTGCATGAGATGCCCGCACTGCCGGCATTGTGTCTGAGCGGATGTCTTTAAGAAACAATTTAGGTGCTAATGGAATTTAATGTTAAATGCTTCCCCCTCCAAAGCCGGGAGAGGGGGAGTGGGGGGGGTGTGGATGGATGTGGAGTTCTCACCTCCAAATTACTCCCCGGCATTTGGAGCCTTGGCAGCAGCCGGGCGAGAGGAATCCAGATGAAAATTAAATGAAGTATTTTACAGACGTTTAGTTTTCCCAGCGGATGTGCGTTTATCTCCAATATCCATACACGAAACGATCTGCCCGGCCTTAAATCTGATGGCAACGGTTGCCAGTTTAAGAGGAGAGCGGTTTGGTACTGAGGCGAAACGGCTTCATGCTTTAATTTATTTATATATATATATAATTATTGTTTTTAATCGCTTTTCGATCTTCAGTCTCTTTCGGGGCCGGCTGTGTGTCTACCCCAGTCAAAATAAACCCAGCAAGATGCAGGGGGTGCCCGGGGTGTGTGTGTGTTGGTAGGAAAACCAAGAGGGAGCAAGGTCAAACCCGGCCTCTCGCTCGGGGAAGTGACTGGGCCGAGCGGCTGGGAGTGGGGGGCGAGAGGGGAGCGGGGAAAGGAGAGGGGTAAGCCTCGAGGAGTCGAACGCGGTGCTGCGCGGTCTTTGCGCGGGTTCGGCCGCGCTCAGCCCCGCCACTTTCTTGCAGGCGAGAAGCCCTTCCAGTGCGAGTTTGAAGGCTGCGACCGGCGCTTCGCCAACAGCAGCGACCGCAAGAAGCACATGCACGTCCACACCTCGGACAAGCCCTACCTGTGCAAGATGTGCGACAAGTCCTACACTCACCCCAGCTCCCTGCGGAAGCACATGAAGGTACCCAGCCCCGCAGCCGGCGGCGGGAGGAGGGAGGGCGGCCGCCCCGTGCCGGGCGCCCCGTCGGGGCGGCGGGCGGCGGGCGCGGGGCCCAGGGGCGGCGGCGGGCCGGGCCGGCGGCGGGGGGAGCGCCCGGGGGGCGGTGGCGGCGGCCTCCCCATCCCCCCTCCACCGGGCCGTGTTGCCTTTGCCCCCCAGGTGCACGAGTCGTCCCCGCAAGGCTCCGAGTCCTCCCCGGCCGCCAGCTCCGGCTACGAGTCCTCCACCCCCCCGGGGCTGGTGTCCCCTAGCGCCGAGTCGCAGAGCACTAGCAATCTCTCCCCGGCGGCGGCGGCGGCGGCGGCGGCAGCAGCGGCGGCGGCGGCGGCAGTGTCCGCCGTGCACCGGGGCGGCAGCGGCGGCGGTGGCAGCGGCGGCGGCGGTGGCGGCGGCCACAGCGGCCTATCCTCCAACTTCAACGAGTGGTACGTGTAGGGCCCCGCAGGACTGCTCTGCACGGCCCCGCAGCGCCCTCCCCTCCCGGCCCCAGTGGCAGCGGCGGCGGCAGAGGGTAGGAGGGAGAAAGCCCGCCGGAGACGCGCTGGGAAATGCCGCCGCATCCGCTGGCAGCGAAATGAGGGCCGAGCAGGATGGGGACGGGGGTCCTTATCTCTCCACACCCCTCCCGCCTTCGCGCCTTTTTTCTGTTTTTTTGTTGTTGGATTTTTTTTCCCTGAATTTCTTTTTGAGAACATTTTGAACCAGCAAAAAAATTTACTCTAAACCTATCTCCTGAGAAACGCAAGAGAATGAGTAAATACATAGAAGAACGGAAAGGGAAGAGAAAGAGAGAGGGGGGAAAACCCAACCCCAAAAGCCACCAGCCACAGCACCCAGCAAAAAGCTTCTCCAGCCGGCGGAAAGCAACTCTCCCTCCGGAGCCTCCAGACAAAAGATCAGAGACTTAACTGCCCCGGCCCCTGCGCCTCCCCGCCCGGAGCGGCCAGCGCCCTCCCACCCCACCAACTGTGTACATAGCGGCCCTCTCCTTCCTCCGGCGAGGGGGGAGCGAAGTTTTCCTGGATTCTTGGTGTATAGAAGTTCGTCCCGTTTGTAAACCGCGGATTGGTCCCCTTCTTCTTTCTTTTTTTTTTTTTCTTCCTTTTTTTTTCCCCCTCTCTTCCTCCCTCCCAAAAAAAAGTGATGGACTTGTTTCTTTTCCTACCGCTCCCCCTCCCCATCTCCCTCTCTCCTCCTTTTTTAGTTTCCCTCTTGGAAAAAAAAAAAAAAAAAGAAAAGAAAAAAAAAGTAACGTGGAAGAAAAAATGGTTTCTTTTTGTAATCGTGATATCTTGAATATTGTGTTCCTTTTTAAGAGGCAACTTGATTGTACACTGCATTTCGACTATAGACTGGGGAAGAAATACCGTGCCAAAGTCTCCATTCTGTTACTCACAGACACACACATGAACAACAACGCTTGTGAATGTATTTTTCTGTTAGCTGGGTTTACATGTGATGTTTTAGTGCTTTTGCAAGTTCAATTTGTTAGTTCCTGTTCGGAAGATTGTGAGGAAAAAATAAACGTTGTGCCGTTAGCTTTTCCGTAATAACACCCTTCCTCCTGTAAATACCTGTTACCATATTTATCCATTTGTAATTAAATTATGGTATTAACTTGCTACAGAGGAAACAGTATTTATAAAGAATGTTTCTTAACTATAAATATGTACAATTGTGAGCATAAACTGTTTCAGATTTTTTATTTGAAGGTTTAAGTGGTTTCATCATTTCTTGTGATATGTTTTGAGAGTAATGCATACAGAAATATAATAAAACGTGTTGAAACTGCACGGCCTGATTCCTTTTTTGTGACAAAAGCTCTCTGAAACCTGCCGTAAAGCGAGTGATAGCCTGAGCGGCGACTGTGAAAAAAATTGTTTATAAAAATCTGCAGGCTACTAGAATGCTAAGATTTCGTTATTTTTTGAGCGATATATATATATATATATATATATAAATAAATTCGGGAAGCCTCTGGGCTAAAAGAAAAGGGTGCGCTTTTCCGTATTCCCCGAATGAATAGCAAGGCAGGAATCTTCTTTAGGAAGAGTTTCACCCGGCAACAGTGCAGCTTCCTTCGCCTTCCTCCTGACTCCGTCTTTCCCTTCGTTCCCGGTACCCCGCGAGGTGACGAAAGAGGGGTGCTACGGGACGGAGGTGGAGGGGCAACAGCCAGGCTTTAAGCTCTGCTCAGGGCTGCTTTGAGCCTTAAACCGTGTTCTTCTCGTATTTTTGTTAGCCTCCCTCCAGCCTTGGAGAGGAGAAAGCAGCGATTCCAGAGAGCTCACATTTCCCTTCGAGATGTTTTTTGTTCCTCCCCCCTCTCTCTTTTTTTTGCTAATAGCCCGGGGAGCGTTTTGGGTTGCCAGACGTCCTCAGCGAGGGACCAGGAGCCTCCGGGAGATGCCTTTTCCTCGCAGTTCTGGCCCAGCACTGCTCTCCGCGGGCGCCGTCGGGGCCCGGCCGGTAGAACGGCTCTTTTGGGTCCGGCAGGCAGCGGCTCTCCGAGCACTCCCCGTCGCACAGGGAGGATGGCAGCGGCAGGGAAAACGTGGAAAAAGTTCGGCCTCGCCAAGCGACCGAATTTATGCCCTGCGAGGATGCAGCGTCGTGAGCCGGACTCCGAGCGCCCTGCGGTGGCTGCGCTGCCTTCAGCGGCAGCTTATGCAGGCGGGGAGAGCCCTTGGATCCTCTCACCGGGCAGACCCCACTGCCGCCCCCCCCGGGCAGGTCGTCGGTCTGAGGTTTTGGGGCTTTGGGCTTTGTCCCTCATGTTCAAATAGCAATAGAGATGTTCCAAGCAGCTGGAGGGAAGATAGGCGGAGGGACGAGTGTATACGGGGCCCTGCCACTTCCGGGGTGCGGTGGGGGTTACCTACACCCAGGGAGAGAGGAAGAGGGAAGGGAATGACCCCCCTGTCCCGCCGCTGCCAACGGAGTTTAGATGCGGAGTGGAGATGGAGCTTCTTTCGTGGCCGCGCCCCTCCCAGCGCTGCCATCCCCGCACACCCGGCAGGCTCCCCGGGCAATCAAACGGCTATTAAAACCTAATTTATGTTCAGTAATAATATTACGCCAAAAAAATATTTATTAAAATCATTGGCATATGCCGCCTGCCCCTTGGAGAAATCCATAGGAAATGCAGCTGCGAGGATCCCTCTTTGTCCTGACGGCCTTCCCGCTGCCGAAAAACCAAACTGGGGTCCCGCTTCGGAGCCCTGCTCGTGCTGCCAGCCCCCGCCTGCCTAAAATTCCCTCCCGGGCTTGGGAACACGCAGGCAGCCCTGCTCCAAGGCGACGGACCCCTCTTGGCTGTCCCCCCGCTCCGGCCGGAGAGAAGAGCCCCGGAGCTAGTCTCTCCTTTCTCCCTCCCCTAAGAGACGTTTCTGTTTTCGGGGTGCCCCTGCTGCTGATTTCCCCTCGACCCCCGGTAGCGGGATGCGCAGAGCAGGCGGCGCCCTCCCCGGCCCGAAGCACAGGTCGTGTGGCAACGAGGGCAGCGCCGCTCCCTCCGGCCAGCGATGCCGCTCTCCCGGCCCGTCTGGGGAAGGGGACGCGGCGTTCGTGGCCGTGAGTTAGCCCCCCCCCCCCCACACACACTTCCTCGTCCTACTCAGGCTGGCCCTGAACTTGACCCTTGCCTTGGCGCATCCAGCTCGCAGCCCCTCTCTGCCCGCCTCCCTCGGGCCCTGACCCCGGCGCGGCCCTGCCACGCTTAAGGGAGAGCGGTAATTCATCGGGTTCAGGGGTTGGGTTTTTTTTGGGGGGAGGGCAGCCGAGACCCGCCTCTCAGCCTTGTGCGCGGGTGGCCTGGGCTGAGGGACCGCTGGCCCTGGAATCCTCCTCTGCACCCCTCAGTTCTCCCCCTCCTCCAACTCGTCCCCCCTCACCCCAATTCTCCCCATGCCAATATTTCTCCCTTTGTCTCCAACACTGAGCCTGAGCTTTCCACACTTCCCTGCCCCAGCCCTGGAGGCAACCTGGGGACCAACCTGGCGTAAGGCCGTGGGGTCCCCCAGCATTCCCCACCCCCTCTCTATGTCCAGCCGCAGAGGGTGGGTGCCCCGGCCGCCGGCTCGCAGTCTCCGACGGCGCTGCCCCGACGGCTCCCGGGTCGCGCCGGTGGGTAAGGGGGGGCACGGCACTGCTCTCCCCCCCGGTACCTCGTGCCCGGCTGCGACAGCCCCACTTGTCCGATTCTCCTCCGGCGGTGTGACTCTTGGTTTATACCGTGAAAACCAGCGTGGAGTGTGGGGTTCAGTTTTTATGGTTAGTATTATTATTAATCATAAAATTGTCTCCTGACTGCCTGCAGACCCCCTAAAAAGGCGGAGTGGTTTTCCTGGGAATTGCTTTCTCCTCAGGCTCTCTTCCCAGGCCAAAAAAAGAAAAAAAAATAAAGAAAGAAATTCAGGAATTGAGGCACCGTCCATAGAGCAAGCTGTGCTCTGCCCCACGCATTCGCAATAGGGGGGCAGCTCACCCCCTGCCTCTACCTGCCCCCACTGCCCGTATCGAGCAAAACCCGCTTTTTCACCTGGCCTGGCTGTTCTGCCGGCTTTGTGCTGCCGCCGGCGGGGGCTAAATAAACCCCAAACCCATCTCAACCTCCCACCAACCAGGGGTGACAACAGCCCAAACCGAACTAAATCAAATACAAAATACATTAAGGGCACGTCTCTCCCGAAGCTTGGAGCGGAGCGCTGCCGAGCCCGGCGCTGCCGCTGCCGGTACCGGTGCCGGCTGGGTTCCGCGGCGGGCAAGGGGCTGCCCCTGCCCGGGGGGGGGGGCTGCAGACGCTCCGCTCGGTTCCGGCCAGACCTCCCCAAACCCCGAACGGCCTTTTAAGTTTCCCCCTTTGTTTTCAGAAACTCGCACACGTTTCCTGCCCGCTATGAAGACATAACAGGCTCCCCAAACCTCTCCCCGGCCACACGTGCGCGCGAGGCGTACTCCGGGCACAGCGAGGTACGTGTGCTTGCCATCTCCGTGCACGGTTAGGGCTTATTTTATTGGTGTTTTTCAATCTCGTGGGTCGCTCCCCCCCCCCTTTTTTTTCTTCCTTTTTTTTTTTTTTTATTTTCCCCTTTTGTTCTTCCTTTAAAAGAAAATTTTTTTTTATTTATTTTTTTTTTTTTCCCCCAGAGTCAGATGCTCGGGGAAGGAGCCACGTTTTAGCAGCAGAGCAAGCAAAAAACTCTTGTCCCACCCTGCAGGGCACGGTGCCCCCCACCCTCCCAAAGTGCTTTGGGATGTCTCCCCACACACTTTCTTTTCTTTTTTCTTTCTTTTTTGGGGGGGTTGGGGAGGAGGGCAATCAGGCTAGAGGGTTTGTCTGCCTTTAATACTTGGGGGGGAAAGAAGGGAGAGAGAGAGAAAAGAGAGAGATAGGAGAGAAGAGAGGAGAAAAGAAGGAAAGAGGGAAAATGACCGGAGAGGAAGGAACTTTGCCAGAGGTTTCATGTATTTAACAGTACTTCAAAGTGGCTGCCCCACTGCTGTGCCCTGTCCCGAGGGGAGAAAGCGCGGCACCGAAAAGACCACCGACCCCACTTCCTCGCGGGGCAGGAAACACTAGCGGGTGTCCCCGCGCCTCTCGCCCATGGCACCAGGCGCTTTCCAAAGAGGACCTGGCAAGGCCGAGCGGCGGGACCCGACGCGGAGCAAGCGCTGCTCCTCCGGTCCCCACTCCTGGGACCCAGCTGTTGCGTCCCGGAGGGGAGGGGACGCTCTTTTGGTGTTAAAAAGAAAATAACCGGCAACAGAAGCGAGAAGGGAGATAGGGAGAAA